ACCTCAAGCATTCAGAACTGAAATTGCAAACAGATCGCGAGATTCTCGCAGGAGAAATCCATCCTTGTGTAAACGAGGTACCCCATACAGTGGAACCTCGACTTCACGAACCTCTATATAACGAAGTCCTAGGTATAACGAACGATACTTCAGCTTCAGCCCGGCTAAAGTTACAGTAAAATGTATGCCACGAAACCTCGATATAACGAGCCAATTTCCCCAGTCCCTTGGCACTTCGTAAATTGAGGTTCCACTGTACTTAGTGTCTTGAAACATGCGAGCTACAGGAAGTGAAACCTACTTGTTTTATCACCTCGCGTATTGCCGGTTTAATTCGAGTCCCGAGTTTTAAACAGTTTATCCTTAGATCTTGATGTTCTCTCTTTATATTGTCCAAAGTGTTCTTCATTAAAATCAGCTGCTGTGTAACGCTTTTCAGCTTTGAGCGCATAACGCTGGTTTCCCTCCCACATTTGGCCCGCTCCTCTGCAACAAGTCGTCTTTTTTCCCCTTCAAAGTCTTTCGTCTGTTGTTCAAATTCTTGTCCCAGCTGATCGATATCCGCTTTATATTTGTTGATCTGTTGGAGAGGGAGAGGATAAAAACAAACACGAAAATCAGACAGTTGCAAGATGTTAGATTCTTCGGGTCGACGTTTATAGGAATGAAGAGAGCAGATAAGAAAGGGATGGAAGGGAAGGAAGAGAGGAGAGGAGAGTCACGGGGAACCGAGAAGAGAGGAGACAAGAAAAATGGAAGGGAATGGAGAAAGAAAAGGAAAAATTACATGAGCTAAAGATGTAAGAAAGAGAAGAGTAGAGAGAAAGAAGAGTTGGGGGGAAAAGTGGAACAAAAGCTGCTACGTACAGACTATGGATGACGATGCACAGTTTTCACAGGCATAAGTTTTAGACTTCCTTGACCCACGATAAAATTTATTGAATTTGCCTTTACCATTTCCTGACATGTTGAAACTACGTGGGACGCATAATCGAAAGTAGTTATCCATAGAGTTGATATTCTTGGGCAAATCGCAATGTGGGCAATCGTAAAAGGTAAGTGCGAAAAACGAATTTAGGTCTCGGCGCAAATTGGAACAGTGTTTTCTTACATACGTGCCACTGGAAGGGCGCCATCATACCATCTGGGCCACCGACCAACATGCGGGGAGCGATGCAAATTTGGTCGCAGCTCGACGTTTCTTTGTTGGTTTGGGGGAAGCTCTTCCCACGCTCGATCTAGTAGGAGAAATCACAAACGTACCTCTGATTCAAGCGCCTTTATTTTGCTGTCTTTTCGTTTCACCGCAGACTCGAGAGAGCTCATTTGCTTCACGGCTTCCTGCAAAGTTCGACAATCGGCCAAAGCTTTTTGCTCATTTCTTGTGCTCTCCGTTATGCTCGTTTTTAAAGACTTTATATCAGCTTGAAGAGCGGATACCTACAATTAGAACAAATGCAAACGATGAACGAAAGATTATGTAAGATTTCCCCTCTCTGATGCTATGGACATGAACGTAACGCACCTTAGCGTTGTAGTCTGATCTCGTCTTTGCAAGAATTTCTTCCAGATCTTTGTTTTGAGCGATCATCTGATCAAGCTGTTTTTTGGTCTCCTCGGAAACAACAGAGATGGTCCGCGTCTACGAAAAAATGAGACAATTTTAATTAAATAAGTTTTAATTTTGCATTTTCACAGATCACGAAAATTAAAAATATTAAATCCCGCATCACGCCAAAACCCTTTTCACCCCCAATGGGTAAGGGGCTTCTCCATGTTGAAAACAACAATTGGACAGAGATTCGACTACTTTCTTGGGACTAACCTTCGGCGGTGTAGCAGCCAGATTACTATACTTCGCTTCAGTATCTCGTAGCTTCTTTCTAAGATTCAATGCTTCTTCTTCAAGTTTATTTTGTGTATTAGTGTGTAGTTTGTGAGCGCTCTGTAAATCATGTTCTAATGTCTGAATCTTCTTTTTCAAAGTGGCGACTTCCTCTTGGAGTGAAAACACTTGTTTGTCGTTTTCTCTTGGTTTATTCTGAAAGAGGATAAAAATATATATTTTTATCGACGTGTACATCTGTATCAAGGGTTCATCAACATCACAGTCCACCTAAGACCAGGCTCCCAGGGAGGGGGGGAGGGGAAGAATAATTAGAACATGGGATCTGAAAAACGGGAGAATCTGGGCCACTCGTTATTCACCAAATTTCCCGCCAAAATACATGATGTTAAGAACCACGTAAAAATGTCTTGCATTAAAACGGGGTTTTTATCTCCTTTGCAAAGAAGACCAAGGTCATTAGTACGATCGGGTCGCTCTATGATTAACCACTGGTCAAGATTTTATCTTTGTGCAACTAAATAACGAAACAAAGATAATGCCCAACACATAAATCTTTTAAATAACAGCCAAATACACTCTTACACTTTCCACTCCTGAGCTTTGCAACTTGAGATTTTCAGCCTGGGCTTTGCGGAGCTTTTTCTCCAACTCTGAAATGCTTTCTGTCAAACGACTCACGTTCTCTTTGTGTTCATGCTTAACTGTCTCAAGTTCTGACTGCGTTGACAGCCATGTTTCATGAATCCTGCTCTTCTCTGCATGGAGATCATTTATAGAGTCAACCAGTTTCCTAAGACTTGAAGCTTTTGTATTGGCAGTGTACAATGATTGAGAAGGAATCGACCCTTTGATGTGACTCTCAAGCTCGGAAATTTTGGTTTCTTGTTCTTCAATAAGTTCTTCTAAGTTGTGAATAAGTTCTGCTTTCATAGCTAACTGAGATTCGTGAGTCTTCTTCAGAATTTTTAGTTGGGATTTTTTGTTGTTTTCTGCCTTTTGAAGCTTGGACTTGTAGTTGGCAGTTTTGTCTGTCATGGCCTGGAAAGCAGAGAAGGTAAAATTCAGTTTAATCAATCAGTCACACATTTATTTTTAAATATTATCAGTACATCTGACAGGTGTTAGTTCTTTTTTTGCAATTTGAATGTGTGCTGTATATTAAATAAATTACATGAGGTATACAACTGTTGAAATTTATAAATTAAAAGGTATTTATGAGCAAATTTCTCAATAAATACCTTAAATCCCATGAGTGACCAAGACAGAATTTCTCCTTACAATATCAATAAATTTTCTAGCAGACAAGTGATGAGAATAAAGAAAAATATCACTTACGGGATTATTAGATGATCCAATATGAAATTCTTAGGACTATAACATTGTGAGAATGGGCCATTTTACAGTTGTGTACTTAGTTGCCAAGCCTTTGATTCAGAGTGAGGCTGAAGGTGACCTTGTTGTGATAGAGACCTGTATCTAGTTAGCATGACAACAAAGTGATTTACATTTGAAAGGCAGCGAGGTTTGTATCATAACAAGGTCACCCCTAGCCTCACTCCTGTTCAAAGGCTTGGCAACCAAGCACACAACTGTAAAAAGTACTATTTGTAGGACAGAAGGTAAGGAGAATTGCTTCTGAGATCTCAGCAGCAAAAGGGTTAAGGGTGCTTGAAAATTGAACAAGTAATACCATGAATAGATCTATAACCCTCCTAAAAGGTTATTGGAACAGCCTGTTTCCCACTCAATTTTGCATTTGGCCTTCTAAGTTACTCTGTACCAATATTGATTAGAGACGAAGGAGGAATCTTAAAATAATTATGTCAAGGAATTGGTACTAGTTCAAATAATTAAAATAAAAGTCCTTAAACTGAATTTTAAATAGAAGTATTTGCTGGGAGTTGTAACTGACTTTGGGACTGTGATATTGTAAAGGGTTTATGAGGTGGAATGGTTAAACAGGGGTGGAACCAAGACAGAGTGCTCGGACACATAAAACAAGCTTTCCTTGGGGATCCAGCCCTTTAACTCAAGAAATTACATTTTTTTATAAAGAGTAAGTGCTACTTCTTTTAATGCATGACAGGCTAAGCTGAGAAAGAAGTATTGCTATTATATTAAGCATGATGCTTTGAGTTAACACGCAAAAATGGTATAAGCTTGTAAACAAGAATTTGGTGTTCGATCAAGATAACAACTTCTACCTAATAAGTTTCATTATTCTCATTTGCTGAATAAGGTATGAAGATTAAAGGGTCAGAATAAACATCAATCACTTCAGGGAATTAAAGGGTGAAATCAGCTTTAAGCTGAACTGAGCATGTGAGCCTGTTTAAACATTGCAAATAAATAAATGAGTAAACAGAATTTATAAAAATTAATAATGAACATGCATAGTCTTCATTGTCTGATTGGTCAATTCAGTTTCCAAGGGGATGCTCTATCAGGTTATAGAGTCTCCATGTAACTAGTTATGTTAAAGCAGCAAAATAATGCATTTCTTGCGCGCTCTATAATGTGATAAAGCCAGTTGCATTGGTATGTTGGGAGAGCATGAGGAAAGCTTGTAAATCAGAGGCATTTGGCTGTGGATTTTTAAGCTTTCCTCATGTTCTCTGCATGGCTTTATCATGTTTAAGTGACCAGAAAACATGTGACCTATTGCTTAAATAAACAAACCTTAAGATTCATAAGAAGTTCCTCGCGTTGTTTGTCTTTCTGTTTTACCTCTGCAAGCAGAGCTTGATACTCAACATCTGACGAACCTGAAATTGTACCAGAACTTTTAGAGCATTTTTCTCCCAACATTTTTCACTTTAAAGAAGTCAGTTTATACATGAAGTAAAATAGATATTATCTCAAATTTTATTTAATATAGGGAAGTGGACTTTTTTTAACAGAGTTCTGGGGCTTTAACAATGAAAAACCAATTTACCAGCTTTGCAGTCGTGATTCTACAAGTTTAAAAATTTAGTGACAATTTCAAACTACTTTCTCCTAAATGAACAATCCTGTTCTTGGTTAACCATTACAACTGTTACTTCGACTTGGGACTTGTTGATGTGATAACACATTTCTTAAATTCATCTTTTGGCATGTCTTAAAGTGTATTATCACCATGTCAATGAAGTCTCTTCCCAAATCTGGGAACAATTGTACACCAAAGCTGATCTAACTGGCTTTTAATTAAAAGCACTAAAAAGGAATCACAACCTACAAACAAACTAGCAAAACAAACACATAATGATAAATAAACCTGTTAAAATAGTATCGCTTCAAACCATTAGTAAATTTGAAAAATATATGTAAGCTTACTGAAAAACCTAATATAAATCTTTTAATTCCATCACCTAATGATATTTTGCAGCTTGTCAACGAAAATTATACTTTGAAACTCTCACGCAACCACCTCTTTTTACTTCTCCCTGGATGATTTTCCTGCCCAAAAATGGCGAAATCGTCCAAAAATTCATCAAACAGTATTTTATAATTCAAGTTTCAATATTTCCAATAGAGAAGACATACAAAGTAATAAATAATATTGTATTTGGACAGTCAGACAACAAGTACTTCAGATGACATTGCAGATAATCTTACAACTCCAGGAGAGATGAAACCAGAAACTATTTCAATTTGTTTGTTGTTGACATGAGAGCAACAGGTATTTAGCTAATTAAATGGAACGCCAGAGTTAATAGCATGCATACTGAAGCTAAACAATGTTTTCACAACTATCCAAAAGACGCTGTGTACGGTTTGTAGACTGAAATAATTGTAGATAACATTGAAGTTGTAAAAAAAAAAAAAAAAAGAATTCACCTTTGCTAAACAGCTGATCAGCTTCAGGTTCCAATTCCTCATCGTCACTCGAAGACTGGCCGGCTTCTGGACTAGAATCATCGTCTGTTGCATGTACGAACAAAGACAGAGAGTGGATTGTTCGTGTTTAGTTTCAAGAAAGCTTATCGAACACGAGCGATACACAAAATGTAAATATTTCAAATAAAAGCAAATTTTGTCTTGCAAGAACTAGTTCTAATCTAGAGGCTACACAGTAGAGCCATAGCTTGATCGTTTAAGCTCACCATCGAATCCTAACTCCTCTTTCCACAAATCTTTTCGCGAAGGAGATGGTTTATGCTTGGAGTCAGGCTTGAATGCCATCGGAGTCTTGAATGATGGCGAAGTTTGACTCTGAAAGAAAACACACGATGTCATATAAAAATTAAACAAACTCGAATTCCTGCCGGTATGATCATTTATATCCGATACTTCTTTTACATAACGCGAATGCCAAACTCACCTTCGTTCGATCGCGAGTGAAAGACATTTTCAGATTCCTAATAGTTCTTTCTAGGTGATTTCGTTACATGAACCGGTATCACAAAGTGGATGAATCTTTACCCAAACAGTATCTCACGTAAATAATTAAGTTGTGGCTAGGTAGCGGCTTCAGCTAGCTTTCAATTATCTTCATTCCTACTACTCTACGTCCAGATCGTAGACGTAATTAATAGTGAAATCAACTCACGAAGGCATGAAACCGTTTACTGTGAAACCCGGTGACTTCCTTCACGATGACGTCACCAAGCAACAGAATACAATCTGACCCAATCCTTTTTTAAAATCCCACTTGACGCAGGACAAGTTCAAACACATGTCAAGTTTCAAATTTTTGGCGGCGGTTACAGGTAGGCCAGTGTAATAATATGGATATATCAACAAAGTTGAAATGGTAAATTGGCCACCGTATCAGACATGGTTTGTCATACACACTAGTGCATAAACCGTTGCCTTCAATTGAAACTTTGATGTCTAAAAAGGATACAGAATTGTCAGAAATTTCCCAGGTACATGATTTTAGAGCCGGGTGAAAAGAATTGACTGCGGTTATGAATTGAGTGAGTTCCTCTCTGGTAGAGGAGGTAGCGCCGATACAGTCGTCGATGTAGCGACCGTAGAGTTCAGGTTTGGAGTATAATAATATAATGATTCTAGTATTTCTTTCAAATCTTCCTGAAGCGGACCGTTTTTATTTATCATTATTAAAAAAGAGCAGCACATACACGCTTTCTAGTGTAATGGGACGCTGCACAGAAACTAGTACTGAAAGAGAAGAAATAGAAGAAGAGAGGGAGCTTGGTTCGGTTTGCCCACAGAAATTTTCGAAATCACCTTTTTTCATCCATAATCACCGCCTTAAGACCTTTAACTTTCTAAGTTTCTTCCCATATATTCAAAGTGTTCTCAGGAGCTAATGAATAATGTAAAAAGAAAATCGTTGGTCTTATCATTTTCCCTCTGCGTAAAGGAGGCTATGCTAAATATTTCCAGGAGCCCATCACTTGTGATGGCCGGGCTCCTGATATTTCATAGTCTGAAGACGGCTCAGTCACAGACATACAAGCTAGGGTGATACATGATCTGTCCGACACTAATTGTCAAAGTCTTTTATCACATTTTTCTTGTTTACACTTTATGGAGCCTGGTGTGCATCTTAAACTCCATATTTTCCCTGAATTATTGTCCCCCATGCCTGCTAAAGCGCGCCCCTCATGGCCTCAGCACCCTCGATCTGCTTAGTCGGACTAGTGGGCCTCAGACCCTCCGCATCTTTCCGGAGAAGTCGAGGACATTTACTGTTGCGTACTTGATTTAAAACTGTATAAAAGATGGCGGCCTTGTGTGCACGTTTCGGCAATTGGAAGATTAGCCGGGCAGCAACGTGCTTAAGAACTTTAAGGGTCTCGGGGCAAGCAACCAATAAGGTAAAGCGATATGTTTTTAATTACGGGAGAGATGTTTTATATGTGAATAAGCATAGCTGAGTGGAATAAAAATGTCGTTTTTTTACAACTCGCAGAATATCGATCTCTACGTCAGGGATGTTGCCTCCCGCACTTATTCGACGACTGGATTGTACCGAAGGGCGAACTATGGGAGACCGAGGGACTTCAAAATGTATGGTTACAGTGGTATTGGGTCCGAACTCTCACCTTGGATTAAAGGAGCGAGATGCTTTTCGTTGTTCGGTTCACAAAGTTCCTCAACAAGTTCAGGTAAGGTGTATTGGCTGTAGATGACGTCACGTGCAATGAAGTGCTGCACAGTCTTCTCTCGATAACTCGAACTTTCAAGGAAAATGATGAAATATTGAGTGCTTGAGAACTGAAAGTAACTGAGGTTTATGCTTGGAGTCAGGCTT